TTTGTCAACCTATCAGTTGGCTTTCTTCCACAAGTCTTTGAAGTTCTTAAAGCTAAAAAAGTATACAGAAACTTGGCTTAGCCAGAGAAGTCTACAGAGCTTACTGCCACTTTTCTTCAGGAAAGAGGTAATAATCACGCATTTAAAACTGGTAATATAGCAGGTGTATTAACACATAAATGCCAATTACATCATTACCAAAGGAAACAAGAGAAGTTCAAGTTATTCAAATGTAAATCTTTAAGACTCTTCCCCAGGATTCTGAGATTCAAGTTAGAAATTGAACTTTTCAGCTTGAGCTTCTGCTTTTAACAAACCAACCTTTTTTATACTGCAGAGCCATTAGAAAAACTCAGGGGCCCTCCTACTCCATGACGCATCATATTTTGATATAGAACCATGTAATCCAACAACAGAACAATGTCAGTTTGATATGTTCTACAAGAACTGACAAAATTCACCAAGTGTCATTTAAAACAGTATTTGGAGCCTTACTTTGTCATCCTGGCTTGGTAATTTATATTCCTGGTGGGGTTTTATTTTATAGTTGAACTGTCATATTTCAAATTTGCAGTTTTTCATAACTAATTCTCAAATGTTAAAGTTGCATTATCTGTATTATGTAACAGCTCTCATTAAAAAAATCCATTTAATATCTTTAAGCCTTTATTTTATATTATAAGCATAAGATATGTTCATGTAAGTTATATTTAATAAATATTTAAGAAGCATTAGCTTTTGAGCTGTACAAAAAAAATAAGTCATTTATGGGTTCTGATCAAGTTCTTGATAAATACTCAATAAGTTTTGCTGATGGAGAAGTGTGCTGAAAAGTATACAGTTTAGGAAATTCAGTAGCCAGCCCTCTAAGCCACTCTTCCATACGTATGCCATTACCAGTCTTTATAGCACACAGTATTTAAGTTTCAGATTACATAACCACAGAAAGATTTCACTGGAGGCCTATAAAACATGGTATGCCACAGGCAAGAAATGTGTTTTAATTTGTATCAATAGGAACACTCCAATTAAAAAATGCAGCTTACCAGACAGGTGACATCTCACTGATGTACACTTATCTGCTACAAATTTAGCCAGAGATTTATTTCAGTAAGGAGTGAAACTGATTAGTACAAACAACTATCAAGCTAAAGGTTTCTCTTCTGCTGCCTACTTTGGCTCCTGTAATGGATACATCCACTATAACCAAATACTTCCCATAGAAACAACTGCTATTTGTCAATTGGTTAAGCTGATAAGTCCTCCTCAGAGATATGAAATTTTTTGCAGTTGTGTCTTATCTCCTTTCATCAGCCATTTTTCTCTTTGTCTAGAAGTGTTATTAAATGACATTAACATTAAATTTAAATGTTAAGCATTAATTTACGTGAAAATGTTTGGATCTATCTAGAAGTCAGGTTCCTTCAAAAGTGAGAACATTGCCATGTTCACTTGGGCATTACTTATTACAAGCTACACATGATCAATCCACTGGTAATGCCCCACTGATATCCCCAAGGACCGTAGTTTCAGGGGAGCTTAAGTACAACTCATGGTAGCCTCAAAATACTCATACAGTGAGAACAGACTCCTTAAAGAAAAGGCTCCAACTGAATCTAACCAATACAAGGATGTCCTGTGCTTTTTATTTGCTCCTTAATTTTTGTCACAGGGTTTGTTCACCTCCCCAAAGATTTTTAGGAAAAAGTTATTAAATCCAAGTATCAAACACTCCACCAACATACTCAGGTCTTACCTTTGTCTTGTCCCTCATAGAACCTTTTCCCAAAATAGACATTTTTGTTAATGTTTCTTCTTGTAAGCGCTTTAGAGAATTGCCACGTGGACCCAAAAGTTTTCCCACAAAGTTGAACTGCAAGAAAACAAAAAAAAATAAGTTAATTGGATTTACAAGCATAAATGAACAAGCAAAATGAAATATTTGGCTGAAACCACTTTTTGTTCAAGGTGCAAACAGATCATAAACTACACGCTCATTAAGTCATTAGGACAGTTAACAGCATGGCAGTGGCTCCACCAGGTGCCAATAGAAACACAGAAGTACCCGAGCTCAAAGAACTCAAACATTATGAAGAGAAATTTGTGTTTATCACTTTCAACACTGAACAGATGTGCTCAAACTGCAATTCAATTTTCAACAATTGTTACCAGGTACATAAAACCATAAAAACAAAGCTGGCAGCAATCTCAGATACAATACTAACCAGCCAAAATTCTGAAGAAAAAAAAAATCTTAATTGCCTTATCTTCCTTTGAAGATTTATGAAGTAATACAGCAACCCATACAATATGCCCTACACTGAAATACAGAAAAACAGGGAATTATATTCAGAGAACTTTAGCATGTTAATCCAGTCCCAAACCAGAATCACTCAAGATACCACTTGAAGTCAAGTGATGAGAATCACTCAACTACCACTCAACCAAAGTTTACCAAAACTAGTTGGAGTTCATAACCAAGGCATTACACCATTAAGATAACTAATTAGAAGAAAGTGGTGAGCCACAAAAATAAAGGAAGACAAGGAAAACCCAACCATTTCTATTCATGAAAAACACCAACACATACACAGCTGGTGCTCTTTCAGCCCAGAAAGTACTTCAGAGAAGGGTAGGCTGAAGAAAACATATCAAAAATCCATTCAAAAAAGGTAAACAAAAAGGGAGAACCTGCATAAACTTGTCACTTCAAGAACACAAAACAGGACTTAGTAGAGCTAGGAGGTATGAAAATTCTCAGGAGCACTGCTCTATAGGGCATATATTCCCAGTCACATGTACCAGGAGAAAAGCTGTGTACATTCAGCAGTCCACTTTTGTGGATCACTGCACTGGATTTTGGAAGATATAAAATATGAAGGATCATTACAGAGAAGACTTGAGGATTCACTTAAAGTATGCAGACAACTATTTTAGGGGGAAAAAGTCACAAAAAAGCAGCTAAACATACCCTACACTTGGAAGTTGGTACAGAATGCTGTAAACACCTCCTGAAAGTAATAATTTATTCCTATATTGGATTTACATGGCAAGGCTTTGGTAGCAGGAGGCTGCAGATGTGACTTCTGTGAGAAGATTCCAGAAGCTGCCCCCGTGTTGAATAGAGCCAGCTCCAAGACAGGCCCACCACTGTCCAAAGCTTAGCCCATCAGCGACACAGCACCTATATGATAATGTATTTAAGAACAGGCAAAACCACTGTGAAGTTCAGATGTGAGAAAGTGTAAGAGAAATAGCCCTGCAGACAGAAGGCCAAGTTTGTTTAAGTTTGTTTTATTATGTATATTCAATTTGTTTTCTTATAGTTCCTAAGATACAGTCAAGGAAAGTATTCATCAGGAATAGGTTGCCCAGAAAAACAGTAGAAATCTCCCTGTCTGAGAATATTTAGGACTCGGGGCCACTGATGGGGCCCTATGTAATCTAATTTACAGTTATGATTTCAACAGAAGGTTGGACCAGATGTTCTCTATACATCTCTTCCAACTTGGACTTCTGTTTTTATTATTTCTGGAAGTATAGCTGCAAGGAAAGCAAACAAACTGAAACAATTCATAACAAGTCTGAACTTCTAGAAGTCAGTAACTCCTTGTCAACAGTTTCCTTAAATTAAGGATCATTACTTATGAACAGGGAGTTCATAGCTAAGCTCAAATGAAAGCTTTCATATAGTGGAATACCACATCAGTTTTTCAAGCATTACCTAAGATTACTTATGTTTTCTTTTAAATAGCCTTGTAAGTCATTAGGAACAAAAATAAACACTGCATACATTTAAAATGAGAGATTTTCCATTTACAGTAAAGTATGCTGAAATTACTTCAGAATGTTGAGTACCTGCAGCCTGATACAGTCTAAATTTCTAGCAGTAATCTTCGTTAAAATATTCAGATGAAATTTTACTCAATTTTTGACTGCAATTTAGGAGTAGGCAAGCGCGTATTTAACTATGCAGTGCATAGCTCTGAATATCATTTTCTAACTGGAACAAACAACAACTTGACAATTAAAATACAAACTACAAATCATAACAAATGGAAGCGCATACCTACAACAAAAGTAAAATCCACTTTGTATGTCAAACCAAAAGGCTTCAGTGCTCAGACATGACTTGGGTGTCCCAAAGCACATTAGTTTACTCCAGCTCTATTGTTTATTTTAAAGCCAAATAGTTTAATATGTTGCAAATATCTAAAATTTTACCTAAAAAAATTTTAATATACCAGAAGTTTTCATCTTCTCAAAACCCAAAAAATCTCTAGTGTTGAAGCTAGACATTATGGTAGCTGTACAAGTAGCTGCACAGATGACATTTTCTAGACAACACATTTAATGAACATGAAAATATTAGCAGTACCCTGAGACCCATTGAACTATTCTTTCCTGTGCACCAAGGCTCCAAATATTAGATTTGACAAGTCTGAAGCATGAGAAACCTGTGCTGCAAGTCTGAAATTCTGCTAATTTGAAAGCACAGTACCTCCAGATGTAGCTTAAAAACGTGAACATTGAAGGTTACTAAAAAAATTGCTTCCATCTCCATTGCAAAGACTTTTTGCTCCCACATAAAAGCTAAAGAGCTTTGGAACATTTCAGTTGATTATTCCACAAATAAAACCCATTTATGATACTGAATGAATCCTTTCAGTAGAAAACAGTATTTACTTTGGACAGGTATTGGATTTCATTCGAACTACTGGTTTATCTCCCTCTTGCATCAAATTGGAAGCATCCGATCAAAGGTTTAGTTTGAAGTATTTCACAGAGATATAGAAACACTCAAAGAGATATCAGCCACTAAAAGTTACTACCATTATTTACACACTTTACCCCAGCAATCAAGGAGTAGGACTCAAACATAAGGTACAAAACCACCACACAGTAAAAGAAGTTTTCATTACAAAATTAACACATCTGGCCTATCTGCTGGTGAAACAGAAGCAAGTGAGCCTGGCAGATCCAAGTTAGCTCTTGATAGCTCATGTACAAGTTTCATAGGCACTTCCCACGCCTCACATTCCTACATTTTCTTTGCCCAAGAGCATAAGAACAAAAAGAAATTCAGGTCTAGTATTGAACTCAAAGCTTATAAACTATCTCTGAATTAGAGGCACTGGGTAGTAACAAAGACATTGAGCAGCTCTGCACAAGGCAGCTCATATTCACTATCTCTGGCTCAGACATGCCAGACTCCCCTCTTCACTCGCTCTTCTCCCTAGGACAGCATGATCATATCCCAGCTGCTGTAAATACCCAACATTGTCTTCAAGTTCACTAGCTTCAGCCTAATTTTGTATTAAAGCAGTCGCACTGCTTTCCAATGCACGCTGGTCGGGAAGCTATTGCCATATTCACAGTTCTACAGGAAAGCTGAACTCTGAAAAGCCAGCCATGAATGTTATTCTACACTGGGTGAATCGCCTGTGTTTAATCAAGGATTTAACATTAAGACAGCTTCTGATTTCTTAGGTAAGAATCAGGATCTTAAGGATGATGGTATACAAACCAGAAGATAAAAGTCCCCAACTCAGAGGTGCTTCTAGACCAGCTCTGAAGGATATGCCAAATACAGTACCTCAAACAAACTTACAGCAAAATATTTAAGGCATCTTTGCAAAACCAGTATCAAGATTGAGATTAACAGACCTGGGAGGAAACAACTGGAGAAGATGGGAAGAACTGTTATCCCAGCTACAGTTCAAGCCAAACAACACTCCTGTTCTGATAATGGTCTGCAGTCTTACTTCATCACTACGTATCACCAGAAATACATTAGTTGGAGCAAAAGGATGCGAGATTTACAGGGTGTTCTTATTTCCCAAAGCCTCTGATCACTGCAAGCACATCCCCCTGCAACTACAAAGGAAGACAGAGGTGTAGATAAAGACACACAGTGAGGTGCAACACTCCCTCCTCCAGTTCGTCAGATATCCAATTCTACCCCTTGGCCATGGTGTCCACTAGCCCACAAATATAGGTTAACTATACTGAAAGTATGCATTTGTTTCCCTTCCGCAGATTATTTTAAACTGCCATGTAACTACAAAATCTCCAATTTAGAACACACTCTTAATAGAAAAAAAATATATAAATAGAAAAATATGAATCAATAACCAGTTTTTCGCTTGAAAATTGTTTCTTCTCTGTATATTATCAGTTCTCATTTTAAAGAAGCATTTTGCAAATGTAGTACAACGGAGATTATGGACATCACTACATAACACCCATTTCTTCAGAATCCCCAAATCAAAATATGACTTCAACCATTATCTAGAGATTTCCTTACCAGATCACTGCTTGAAACTATTCCCCGAGAACAGTTCTGGAGAAAAAACAGCTACAAAGACTGCACAAGTGAGACTTTCTCTTCATAAGCATTTGATCTACTATATGAATTTCAGCAGAAAAGGAATTAATGCCGATACTACAGCATTTTAAAATTTATATGTTACAGTAAGGGGGATATAATAGAAAAAGTAATCTTTGTTTATCCCCCCCAAGACAAGTCTGCTGAGAATGGTTCATCCAGCTTAAAATACTTAGTGAAAAAATAAATGCTTGACCAAATGCTTTCCTCTAAAGCTCTAAGCAAGCCATAGAAAGCTTTCTTCACATATTAGTTTTTCTGCAATGGTTCTTCTGTGATAGGGTCACTAGAAAAAAAAAACAGTTAAATTAAGATTCAGAGAACTTTCCCTTACAATGACCTGAATCCAGGAAGTCTTCAAGATTTTTCTTACTGATTTCAAGAAAATAAGGTTTCTTGAAAAAGGTAAATCCTTCAAGCATCTACATTGTATAACAAACTACTCCACACAACACAGTAATAGGTCTTTAAAGATGTATTCACAA